AAGTCATCTTATATACTCTTACAAGTGTTACAAGTGTTTTTGCTATTCTTAGCCCTTGATATTTTGGCATCAGCACATCAAATTCCATAAAATACATAGAATAAATCATAAATTTTTTATGAGTTTTTTTTAATTAGAAAGGACATAATTTTTAGTATCAGGTTTGAGCACCACTAGAAGCTTTGGTGGTATAGTACCTAAGGCATTTGACTGCTAACCAGAAGGCTGGCGGTTCAAACTCACCAGCCCCTCTTCAGAAGGAAGATTGGGCAATCTACTTCCATAGTGATACCGCCTCAGAAACCCAAGGAGGGGTTGCTATGAGTCAGATCCGACTCGACTGCAGTGAATTTGGTTTTTTTTTTTTTTGGTTTTTATATGTATTGGTAGTTCAGACTTGGACAAATTACTTACCTCGGTTTTTAAAATTGCAAATAAGAATGATAAACTCTCATTGAATGATATTAGGAGTAAATGAAATAATGTATGAAAATGTTTAGTATGGTACCTTTCTCTTATTATGTGTTCTGTAAATGCTAATTTACAACCTTTATGGTCTCTACTTCCATTTTGACCAGAATTTCACATGTATTTAGAATTTTTATACACTATTTTATATAAGTAAAGCAAGTGGGATTGTCTAAGACGTCACAGTGAATATTGGTATGCTGGGAATGGCTCACATATGAAAGAAATATAGAACCTCCCATGTTGGGGGATTCTAAACTTTTTTTTGGGATCCATACAATTTTTTTTTTAAATTTAAAATCCCTTACAATTTTTTTAAAATTTATCGTGTTCATATTGTATATGAATGTTTCTAAATTGAAACTCCCTAACTTACAGACCCAGACCTCTAGCCATTTTTTTAAGTTAATGAAACAAATTTTATTACACAAAAGGAATATTTGATGATGTTTTGTTCTTCTGTCTGTTGAAAGGTGGGACACATTCCTAGGGACATATAATGCTTAGTCTGTAGGAATAAATTTAAACTTTAATGCAGTATAAATACAATCACTTTTTATTTGCAGACTTTCCATCTTAGATAACGTTTTCTTTTATAATTAAAAGTTTGACATACACATGGTTTTGAACAAACCTTGTACATTAATTTTATTTTTGATTTATGCATAAATAACAGGTTTGAAATTGAACTTAATGTATTTACAAATGAATTACATATGCTCTATTAAACAGAAGAACTGTTTCGTTATTTGACAAATTCCATTTGTTTTCATAGTTTCCATAGTAACATGCATTTAGATGAGTAAACACATAGTAGATTCACAGTATTTGGTTTGATAAACTAATTAGTAAAAGTCATATTCAATGTAATGGATAAAATGCTTTCTCTTCTATATTTACAGGAAAACAACCAAAGTTTTAAGTAGCATTTTAAGAGCAGATGAATTTGAAGATAAAGAATTATTTGTTTTATATTTTGGACACCTACAAATGAAGTGGATCTAGTAAAAATAACTGCAATGGATTGACAACTCAATTTATTTTTAATTTTGTTGGTTGGCTATTTGGTTTTTCCTAAAATGAGAAAAATATTTTAAAACTATAAAGAATTTTCTAATCAGTTTCAGCTTTGCAGGCAGTTACGTGCATAAATTGGGATGTGACCCTGAAAAGTAAAAATTTGGTTAGTGATGTGGGAAAACTGTGTATAATTTGTATGCTACTTGCAATTTTTTCTTTTTCATCACTTGTAATAATGGATTGGAAATGCAAGCTGTAAAGATTCTCAATACAAAGTGTTTGGTACAATGTATATATGGTACATATTTTTTTGTTGCTTTTAAATTTGCCTTTCTTCTGTTTCCCACTGATTTCATACCAGCCATTGAACCATGTTACTATCTCCAGAGGCTTAGAATGATTCAAGATGTTCAGTGCATAGTTATCATTGAGGGTGGGAGGGAAAATATTTTAATAGCCGTTTCCCATCTCTAAGTTTTTCAAATTAACATTATCTTAGCTTCATAATTACTAGTAGAGATTGATAATTTGGAAACAATAGTAGTGAATTAAACTGAAATTGAAAAATAGCTACTACGTGTTTGTGTCACTAATCAGACCATGTGAGCAGTAGAAGTTGAGCAATTGCAAAACTAGAACTGATCTTTTATTCCAAAAAGGAAAAATTTTGACTTTTGCAGACAATTCTGGTACAGTTTCAATTCTGTAATTTCTTATGTCAATGACATGAATGGATGAAGAATATTTAACTCTTAGAAATTTTATCCAATAAATGTGCAGTTTGCCACTCTGGATGTTACCAGTGGGTTTTTTTTTTTTTTTTAATGTTTCTTCTAACACTGTGTCACCAAAATAAGGTGGTTTAAAAAAACAAAAAGATGTTTCTTCCAACACTGTGTCACCAAGAAAAGGTTGTTAAAAGGTAAGTGATAACTCTCTGTATTCCTCATCTCCCAGATCCTGAGTCTACTGGCAAGGATTTACAGACCATCCTTTGGTGGAATGGTTTATCTTTCACTGAGTCCTGAACTCCTAAATCTTTCTCTTCACTAGATTTTGAGCTTGTTACCTAGAGTCAAACTTTAGTCCAGGTAGGTTTTCCATCTTGGTCTTTCACTATTTCATTTTTATGTTACTGTATTTCCCAGAAAAATTGATTTTTTTCTTAAAAAAAAAAAATTAACTGTAAGTTTATCAGTTAATTTAAAATGGGATATTTGTGCATAGGGCCCAGATTTTCATTTGTCTTTTGTGCTGTTTTTCTTTTCTATTATAGGTCCAAGTATATATATGTGTATGTTAACACACACACATACAATTCAAACAAACATACTCTCTCACACATATATACACATAAATATATGTATAATTTGTATACGAGCTTGGGTCAGAATTACCATATAAATTTGTTTGCTTTATAATTTCCTATTCTCAGGTCTTTCTTTTGATTCTAGTTTAAAAATATGTGACAGAACCTATTACAATTTGAAAACCAGAGAGCCTTTTCACTTAATCACCACTGTTACTGAAGGGAAAATTAACTGTCTAGTACTCAAAAGACTTTAAGTGCTTTCTGAATCTGATGCTGAAATGGACCAGCCAGGAAAATGTTTTGATAAGTTATGATTTGTTTGTGTTTATTAGAGGCATTTATAACCAGTGTTTTTAAGAAGAGGTTGTATGTCAAAAGTTTCCTAGGTTTCAAAGTAACTTGCTCCTTTCTTACTGTATATAATCAGAGTGAGATGGCAAAGACTGGTTAGTATCTGTTTGCCTTTGTACACATGTATAGTTTATTTGAATAATCATTGTACATCTTCATTAATGTTGTTCTTCACTTTGTATATAAATTAAAAGAGTTGAGCCAGATCTTGTTTCATAGTGTCTGTCATCTTCAGAATTGTTGCCCCCTCCCCCAAACCCATTGCTGTTAAGTTGATTCCAACTCATAGTGACCCTGTAGGACACAGGGTAAAACTGCCCCATAGGGTTTCCAAGGCTGTAAATCATCATGGAAGCAGACTGCCTCATCTTTCTCCCATGGAGTGGCTGGTGGGTTCAAACCACCCACTTTTCAATTAGCACAGCCTAGTTCTAAAGGGAGCCATGGCACCACCAGGGCTCCCTTTAGAATTGACTCTTTCTCTATTGTCTATGTTTAGAAGAAAATATTCTAGAAGAGAGGAAAAAAAGTTCAATTTTAAATCAGATGAGGACTAAGGGGCATGTAAATAGTATATGGTAAAAGTTAATGCTCCACAAATTGGTTTGAGAAAATACTTTAGCATAAATTTTATAATTAAAAAAATAAAATTTTAGTTCTATTTTTTTTTCCTGAGTTTTCCACCAGTGGAAAGTTAGGAAAAAAATACTTATAAATTTTTCCCAGGGGAGCTGTGGTCTGAAAGGAGTTTGGACTAGAGAATAACATGTTGGTAAATTTCTATATGTATTATATTTTTACTAGAAAAGTTTATAATCAGATTTTATTCAAAATATTTATGGATTTTTATAGCGGAGTGTATATATCGTTTGAGGACTGTAGTCATTCTAAGTGTTGAAACTGGAAAACATGTTTTCTGTCCAGGACTTTCTCTATTTTATGACTTCCTTAAAGTTTTGTGGTTGTTACAGATTTATTTTCTTTATTCAGTTAGGTTAAAAATTGTTTTAAAGTATTTAAAAATTTTTATTTAAGTGAAAATGTCAATATTAAGAAAATTAACCTTCTAGATCACATATTTAAACCACATACAATAAAATTTGAGCCAGATTCTTCCAAAGTAAAACATTCCTCTTGATAAGTTTATCTTATGTATAGGTAGTTATGATGATAATAAATGATATAATAATGTTACATTACTAAGTGGTACCCTAACTTAATCACAAAATTGTTCACTTACTGTGGAAAAACTAGTTTATAACCTGACAAATGGATAGAGGTTCTTTATAGTCAAAGTTATTTTATGTCTATGCATTACCTTTTTAAGTAATATAAAGTGAATGCTCATGAGATTAGGAGTTGGGAATGGAATAGACATGATTGAAGAATAAACTTCACTCACAGAAAATCAGCTACATAAAATCACAAAACACATATTTAACCTTTATGATAGGTGACAGGCTACAAAATCTGTTCTATGAATTAATTCCCCAGAAATTCCCACTTTACATATTTTTCCTTCATAATAAGAACTTTCTTTTGTACAATTTTATTCCATCATCTATACTTTTTTTCTCGCATACTAGGATTTTGACATTAAAAGGTTTTAGCAAAACAATTAGCATCAAATACTACTAATAATAGTGAACACTGAAAATTGAGCTAAAATACACATGAATAATAAAATTCTCAAATACATTTTACAAGAGTGCACACCTTAGAATAAATATATTTAACAAAAGTATACAGTAGATTAACACCCACAGAGACATATCTAATTCACATTTTAAATAAGAGCAAGTGTTTTGCACTTGGAACCATAAAGAAATGTCGAGGTGTCTAGGAACATCTAGTTGTTGTTCAGGATCCACCATGAAGCTGAAAAAATAATAAAAATAATTATGAAAATAACTGCAACTTACATGTGTATCCAGTTTTTTCTCTGCTATATCCTCCACCTTTTCTTTTTTACATAGAAATCCAGGGCCAAGTAAATTCAAGAAACATAATATTCTTAGACCATTTCCCCCCAACTTTTGTCTGCATAATTGCTTATCTTTCTAGTATCATTTCCTGAATATTTGAGCCAACATTGAACCTTTCCTATTTGATTGTTATTAGCACCATTTATTTTGGCATTTGGTTGTAATCTAACTAAAATTCTGTTTCATGTGAACAGAGCTTGTCTTGGCAATAAGATGGTTAATGCCCTTTAATAAAATCATGTTGTACTTTTTAATCTATCCAATACTGGTAGGTACTTTTTAAAAAGATACATGATACTTTTACATATAGACTTCAGAAAGATTGTGTATAACCAAGGGGATGTGTGGAATACTGTTTTTTAATATGTCTATGCTGTAAAGTTGGAAATCTATTTACCAGTGAATATAAATACCTCAAGGACAGGTTTATGGCAAAGAATTAAGATTGTTAGAATGCTGTGAGGAACAAAAATGGAAAGAATTAAAATTTGTTTTCAAGGTACAATAACAGGCACATAGACCAATGAAACAGAATTGAGAACCCAGAAAGTAAATTCATCCACCTGTGGACAGCTGATCTTTGACAAAGGACCAAAATCCATTAAATGGGGAAGACGTAGTCTCTTTAGCAAATGGTGCTGGGAAAATATGGATATCCATTTGCAGAAAAATGAAACAGGATCCATATTTCACGCTATAGACAAAAACTAACTCAAGATGGATCTAAGAGCTATATGTAAAAACTAAAATCATAAAGATAAAAAATAGGGGCAACCTTAGGGGCCCTAATACATGGCACAAATACACAGTCAAACAAAACTAAAAATGCATAAATAGCAGAAGACAAATGATGACTGGGACCTCCTAAAAATTAAACAGTTGTGTGCATCAAAAAGCTTCACCAAAAGAGTAAGAAGAGAACCTATAGAATGAGAAAAATTTTTTGACAATGACATGTTGGACAAGGGACTAATCCCTGAAATTTATAAAAAACTTCAATACATCAACAACAAAAAGACTAGCAATCCAGTTAAAAAATGGGCAGTAGATATGAACAGACATTTCACCAAAGAAGATATTCAGACAGCTAACAAACATGAAGAAATATTTGTGATAATTATCCATGAGAGAGATGCAAATCAAAACAATAAGATATCATCACATCCCAGCATAAATAGCAAAGTTAAAAAAAATAACAAATGCTGTTGAAGGGGTGGAAAGACTGGAACCCTCATACACACTGCTGGTGCATCCTAGTTTATGAGGCAAATTGTGAATCAAAAGAAATTTCAATCATACTTACAACTATCCTCATTGAGGATTAAAATCGAAATATCCAGTGAGAAATTCTGTAAATCTTCGATGTCTAGGCCAGATCATAAGCTGCACTTAAGATCTATAGTAAATATATGCCTGGAACTCAGACTGAGACTGTAAGGAGAATCATCTGATTCTATTCTAAGGCATTCACTTAATGATCTGCCCCATGTCCTCATCTAGCTTCAATGTCAGAATTTATTATTTTCTTTTTGTTCTTCAATCCACCAAATGTATCTTTTGTAAAGCCCCACAACTCTACTAAAATAAATTACTCTCTCTATTCTTTTCCCCAATATAAATGATATATTAACTATTACAATAAAAAAATTTTTAACAATTCTAATCTCTAGTCTATGGGTCATTTATTTAAAATTGTATTAAATACACTAAACTCCAATACAGTAAAATTTCAAGTATCACAATTTTACTTTGTATTCCAAGCCTGTTAAAATCTCAAGATGACCAGCAAATGTTTAATGTTAGGCTTAATGCAATCATGAATACAAATTTTGGGCACCTGAAGACTGAAGGCCATAGACAAAAATATTTGTTGTTGTTGTTAGGTGCCGTCAAGTCGTCTCCAACTCATAGTGACCCTATGCACAGCAGAAAGAAACACCACCCGGTCTTGAGCTAGCTTCACGATTCTTGCTCTACTTGAGCCCCATCACCACTGCCACCATGTTAATCCATCCTATTAAGGGCCTTCCCCTTTTTCATGGACCCTCCACCTTACGAAGCATGACACCTTTCTCCAGGGAATGGTCCCTTCTGACAACATGACCAAAGTATGTGAGACGGAGTCTGGCCATTCTCGCCTCCAAGGAGAATTCTGGCTGCACTTCCTCCAGGACAGACACGTTAGTTCTTTTAGCAGTCTACTGTACTTTCAGCATTCTTCTCCAAAACCGCAGCTCGGGTCAGGTGCACCTTAGACCTCAAGGAGACATCTCTGCTCTTCAGTACTTGAAAGAGGTCCTTTGCAGCCGATTTGCCCAGTGCTATACATCATCTGATATCCTCACTGCTGCTTCCATTGGTGTCAATTGTAGAACCAAGTAATGTGAAGTCTTTGACGATTTCAATCTTTTCTCCATTTATTGTAATGTTGCTTATAGGACCAGTTGTGAGGATTTTTGTTTTCCTTATATTGAGATGTAATCCATACTGAAGACTATTCTTCAATCTTCATCAGTAAGTGCTTCAAGTCACCCTCACTTTCAGCAAGCAAAGTTGTGTTGTCAGCATATCACAGGTTGATTCTTCCTCCAATCCTAATGCCACATTCTTCTTCAAATGGTCCAGCTTCTCAGATTATTTGCTTAGCATATAGATTGAGTAAGTATGGTGAAAGGATACAATCCTGATGCACTCCCTTCTTGATTTCAATCCATGTTTGTTATGTGCCGTCGAGTTGGACCCGACTCTAGTGACCCCTCCTTGCATTTCCAAGGCGTATCACTATGGAAGTAGATTGCCCAACCTTCCTTCCGAGGAGTGGCTGGTAGGTTTGTGCCTTAGGCCTTAGGCACTACGCCACCAGAGCTCCTTTTAAACCACATAGTGTTCCCTTTTTCTGTTCAAATGACAGCCTCCTGGTCTATATACAGGTTCCTCATGAGTACAATTAAGTGTTCTGGAATTCCCATTCTTCTCAATGTTATCCACAATTTGATCTTTCTGGTATTCTTTGCTTTGATCCAAGATCCGTCTGACATCAGCAATGATAGCTCTTGTTCCATGTCCTCTTCTGAATCTAACTTACATTTCTGGAAGTTCTCTGTCAGTATACTGCTGCAGCCGTTTTTGAATTATCTTCAGTAATATTTTACTTGCATGCGATATTAATGATAATGTTCGATTATTTCCTCATTCTGTGGGATCACCTTTCTTTGGAATGGGTGCAAATATGGATCTCTTCCAGTCAGTTGGCCAGGTAGCTGTCTTCCAAATCTCTTGGCATAACCAAGTGAGTACCTCCAGTGGGGCATCTGTTTGTTGAAACATCTCAGTGGGTATTCTGTCAATTCCTGGAGCCTTGTTCTTCGCCAGTTCTTTCAGTGTAGCTTCGACTTCTTCCCTCAATACCATTGGTTCTCGATCATATGCCACCTCCTGAAATGGATGAACATTGACCAGTACCAGTTCTTTTTGGTACAGTGACTCTGTTTATTCCTTCCATTTTCTTTTGATGCTTCCTGCATCATTCAGTATTTTGCCCATAGAATCTTTCAGTGTTGCAACTCAAGGCTTTAATTTTTTTTCCTCAGTTCTTTCAGCTTGAGAAATGCCAAGAATGTTCTTCCCTTTTGGTTTTCTAACTCCAGGTCTTTGCACATTGCATTATAGTAATTGATGTGTCTGCTCGAGCTGCTCTTTGAAATCTTCAGTTCAGCTCTTTTATCTTGTAATTTCTTCCATTTGCTTTAGCTACTCTTTGCTGAAGGGCAAGTTTCAGAGTCTCTTCTGACATCCATTTTGGTCTTTTCTTTCTCGTATTCTTAATGACCTCTTGCTTTCTTCACAGATGATGCTCTTGATGTCATCCCACAATTCTTCTGGTTTTCAGTCACTGGTGTTCATTGCATCAAATCTATTCTTTAGATGGTCTCTGAATTCAGGAGGAATATACTCAAGGTCATATTTTGGCTCTCATGGACTTGTTTTAATTGGGTTCAACTTCAGCTTGAACTTGCATATGAGCAGTTGGTGGTCTTTTCCACAATCAGCTCCTGGCCTTGTTTTGGCTGAAGATAGGAACTTTTCCATGGCATCTTTCCACAGATGTAGTAAATCTGATTCCTTTGTACTCCATCTGGTGAAGTGCATGTGTATAGCTTCCATTTGTGTTGTTGAAAAAAGGTATTTGCAATGGATAAGTTGTTGGTCTAGCACAATTCTATCATGTGATGTCCAGCATTATTTCTGTCACCAAGGCCAAAATTTCCCAACTACCAGTGATTCTTCTTTGTTTCCAACTTTTGCATTCCAGTTACCAGTGCTAAGCAATACATCTTGATTGCATATTTGGTCAGTTTCAGACTGCAGAAGTTGATAAAAATCTTCAATTTCCTCATCTTTGGCTTTGGTGGTTGGTGTGTAAATTTGAAAAATAGTAGTAGTAATGGATCTTCCTTGTTGGCGTATGGATATTATCCTATCACTGACAGCACTGTACTTCAGGACAGATCTTGAAACATCCTTTGTAATGATGAATGCCACGTCATTCGTCTTCAGTTTGTCATTTTCAGCATAGTAGATCATATGGTTGTCTGATTCACAATACCCCAAACCCATCCATTTCAGTTCACTAATGTCTAGATAGCAATCTTTATGTGTTCCATTTCATTTTTGACAACTTACAATTTTCCTAGATTCATACTTTGTGCATTCCATGTTCTGATTATTAATGGATGTTTGCAGCTGTTTCTCCTCGATTTGAGTTGTGCCATGCCAGCAAATGGAGGTGCTGAAAGACTTACTTCATATCTTTAAGGTTGGTTCTACTCTGATGAGGCAGCTCTTTCCCAGTCCTATTTTGAGTGCCTTCTGACCCAGGGGGCTTGTCTTCCTGCACTGTGTCATACCATGTTTCTGAGCTATTCATAAAGTTGCCCAGTAGTGTATCAGACAGTGTTTCTCTGCTATTCATAAGGTTTTCCCTGACCAGTTTTTGAGAAGTGGATGGCCTCCTCCTTCTTCCTAGTCTGTCTTAGTTTGTAAGCTACATTGAAACCTGTGCACCATGTGCAACTCTGCTGGTGTCTGAAACACCAGTGGCACAGCCTCAAGCCTCACAGCAACGTACAAGCCCCACAGGATGACAAACTGACAGACAAGTTTTTCTCCCTTAGCTGTTGGAAACCTCTGTGCCCTCCCCTTACCTAATTCCTACCTAGAAACTGCCACTTTGTGGTCCCTGGCTGCTCCCTCCATTTCCTGGCTTTAGGGGGTTTGGGGCCTAGCTTTGCCTTCCTCCCCTTTACCTGGATATCCTGATGCTCCCGAGGTCCCTGGCCTCTGCTGCTCCCTCCCTTTCGTGGCTCTTGGAGGCTTGGGGCCTAGCCTTGCCTCCCACCCCTTTTTACCTGGATATTCTGCCACTCCACAGGTCCCTGGCCTTTCCTGCTCCCTCCCTTTCTTGGCTCTCTAGGGGGCTTGAGGCCTAGACTTGCCTCCCACCCCTTTTTACCTGGATATCCCAGCACTCCACAGGTCCCCAGCCTCTCCTGCTCCCTCCCTTTCCTGGCTCTATGGGGCTTGGAGCAGACAAAAATATATAGATTTTTAATTCTTCCTGGTCACCCACAATTTCAAGATTATTAAGAAATGCTGAAGAGAGCACCACTGATAAAAAGTGAGGGGGAAAGAACCACGTTTTAAAAGTGAAAAGAGAACCCAAAAGAACATAGAAGCGGGTGAATCCAGGATAATTACCAGGAACAAGCATAGTAGATGTGAGTTCTGGAGTTTCCAAGAAATCCACATTACTTCTTTGGAATGTCTTGCTATAATTCGTCTGAAGATGGCTGTACAAATAATTATAAGTTAGGGCTATGCATTTTTTATTCATAATCATCCTAAATAGAATGTAGCAGAGATCAAATTCAACCAAGATAGCAAGGTTTGAATGATTTGGATTAAGTGCCCAAATACAGACTTTTAAAAAATTGGTTAACTTTTAAAAAAAATTCAGACGCTAATTTAACAAATGTCATAAGGTCATTTCCTTAAAAAACGGAAAATAGAAATACCATTTGACCCAGCAATTCCATTACTAGGAATATACCCTAAAGAAGTGAGAGGCAGGACATGGACGACATATGCACACCTATGTTCATCACAGCACAATTCACTATAGCAAAGAGATGGAAACAACCTAAATGCCCATCAACAGATGAATGGATAACAATTACGGTATATTCACATGACAGAATACTATGCTAAAGAATAATGAAGAGTACATGAATCCTCTCACGATGTGGATGAGCCTGGAGGACATTACGCTGAGTGAAATAAGTCAGTTGCAGAAGGACAAATATTGTATGAACCCATTACTGTAAAAAGACAAAGAATGGTTTGCTTAAGGAAGGGAACTCACTTTGTAGGTTACCAGGGTGGGGAGGGAAGAGGAGGGAATAATTTTGGGTTAGTTGGGGGCAACAAGCTGAGGTGGGCAAGGGGAGGGATGGTATGGGAAGAGTCTGTGACTACCAAGATAACATTGGGGAAAGGGAGGACACCAAATTGTGCACAGAAGATATAGATGATGGATGCTAATACCAGTATATCCACAATACTGCATTACCATTAACACCAAACACCAGGGTACAGATAAACACAAACATATGAGAAGATCAGATGGGAGTCAGTGAACAGGATTATACTCTAAACCAAGGATAGATTGCACAGATAACAGTGATACAAAATACCCGCAATCCTTACAGAAACAGCAGAAGACAGACATAGAGAATCCCTCACCGAGAGCCAAACACCGTAGGAGAGAGAGCCAATGGATTTCCTGACTCAGGACCGTAATACTGGGGGACACCAGACTCAATTGGCACAATAAAATACATAAAAATCTTGTTTCACAACCTACATTGGTGAATAGTGACTGGGGTCTTAAAAGCGGCCATCTAAGATGCAGCTAAAGATCTATTGTCGGAAGCGAAGAAGAGTGCAAAAAACCAAGGACATTTGGAAGCAATCAGCCCTAGGACATGATGGACCTCAAGACCAGGAGAACTAGATGGTGCCTGGCTACCAATGACAACCATTCAGGAAAGGATCAAAACTGGAGATCCTAGATAGAGTGGGAGGAAAAACATGGAACAAAATTCAAAAACAGTAATGACCAGAATTACTGGTCAGATGGAGTCTGGTGGGACCCCCCAATACTATGGCCCTCGGATACACTTCGGGCCTGGAACAAAAGTCACTCCCAGGGGCTGGCTCTTAGCCCAACAGTAAACAATACACGCAGACTATTCAACCCAGGGTGACGCACCCGCATACTCTATGGAGATGCATCCTTTGGAGCAATCGACCACAGGGCACCAGAGGGGCAACATTTGCACGGAACAAATGCAGGACACACAGGAGTGCATAACTGTGAGGGGCATGGGAGAGGTTACTGGGCAGGGAGGGGAGGAGACTGGGTTAGGGTTGGGATGATAATTGGGGAGTGAAATCAAATGTACATAAAATGTTGAATGTAAAATTCTGCTCTGTAAATTTGCACCTAAAGCGCCCACACACACACGCACACACACAAAAGTCATAAGGTTTTTTAAAAGAGGACATTAATTCTCTACAGAAGATAAAACAATAGGAAGTAGACTTTAATTGCAGCAGGAAATTTAAACAGAAAGAATTATCTTAGCTATCACACTGTTTTAAAAAATTGAACAGCCAAGAAAGGAACTATAAATTTATTACATCTCTAGAGAATAAAAAGATATAAAAATAATCTATCCTGAAGTATAGGTCTGACAACACTGACTTGAATAAATTTCCTTCCTGTCCCTGAAATTCTCTAGGTCTCAGTATACCTTAATTATGCCACAAATTGCCTTAAAACAAGTTTGATTCACAAAAATCAAACTTTCAGGTGAAATATGTATCAAATGAATTTCTAGGCATTCTGTTACTTCCCATTACCATATTTAACACCCACCTAAACACAGACTGATTGAAGAGCTGTATTTGTGCCATTTAAAAACAACTGCAACTATTTTCCACAATCTCACGATTGTAAAAATGTCTTGGATCCATTTTTCTAATGATATATTTTGTTATGTATTAGTAACTTTTAATTCCAGGGAAATGGATCCCCTTTATCTTTGCTAGACAAAATCCTAAATTTCCTCCTTATTTGCAGTGGTTAAAGACATTTAGCAAAGTGGGTAGTCCTTCATGATCTTAACCATTGTATCTAGCTTTATTTGTAAAATAATAACCACAGAGCTTATCTTATGGAAATATAATAGGTTAAATTTTTTCTGACTCTCCTTTTTCTACATCCTGTCACCCTTTGTGTTAGACACCCATGGCCTCTATCTAAACCTTACCTAAAGCATCAGGGAAATAGTTAAATGGTTAAGATTTGAAATGGGATCACAACCCAAAGTATTTGTGCTTCAAGAAGAAAGTGATTTCTAATCCGTGAAAGAAATTCCTAAATGTGTGGGATTCAGGATAACGAGTAAATAAACAGGTATTGAGGAGAGGTAAAGGGAATGGAGTTTTTCCTGCAAGTTCAAAGGTTATGTTATGTATATTGCTACCTGTGTGGCTTCACAAAAAATCATCCCTGCTCATAACTTACCTATTCCATACACTACTATTCTCCCAGAACTCATAAATCATGTAGCGAGATTCATTTGAAAGCTTCTGAATAGAAATACTGGAATGGAAAGAAAAGGCATAATTAGCCATAGGAAATTTAAAGACAAGAAGCAAAGCAATTTTTATAATCACATCTATATGTGATATAAAACAATCTTATCCATTGGTACAGGGAACAAGTAGGGTACCTGCAGGAAAATGGAACCATTTTGTCTGGAATTGATTAATTCATTTTATCTGCTTGTTTGGCAAAAGAATTTTTCAGTTTTCTTGTGTGGCGCCACAGAAATCTCAGTGTAGTTTGGATACCACAAATACAACTTTTGTAACATTTCATCCATTTATCCATCCATTCAAAAGCATTTACTGAGCATCTGTCGTATCAGGGTTCAAAAGAATGAGTGCAGGTCACTGTTCTAGTTCTTTATATTCAGTCCTGTCAACCTCCATAACTCTTGCCAAATTCTTAATCATACCTTTATCTCCCTGTCTGGATGGACAGCTCTTGTCTGGGATCCTGCTCTAAGGCAGTTGAGTCAAACTAAGGTACTCCTAGGACGCACAAAGGTTTAGGTGTTAGACTTAAATTTAGTCCAATGGGCTAGTTAGTACCCTCTTGGATTCAAAGCCATTCTCTGTAGATCAACTTTTCATCTCCAGAATCCTTCCTGCAAACTAAGGTAGAAATAAAGGATTAAAGAGGAGGGGATAGATTCATAAACTCAAGGGAGAGTGGGAGACAAAGATGCCTTTTGAAAAATTAATAACGTAAGTCTTGTTTTTTAAGCCGAATATTTCACAATATAGTCAGCAAAATGTGATGCTAGCAAAACAGTGAGTAAACAGATAACAAAGAATATACTAGGAAAATACTAAAACAAAAAACTAAACCCCTTACCATCAAGTCGATTCCAATTCAGAAAATAGGTCGCTTAATGTAGTTTTTGATCTACCTAAATGTGGCCAGCAGGTGGCGTTATCTAAACACAAATCTGAATACTTAAAAATCAAAAACAAAACCAAAAAACCCTGTAAATCCCAACCCACTCCCACTGCCATCCAGTTGATTCCTAGGACAGAGTAGAACTGCCCCACTGGGTTTCCAAGGCTTTAAATCTTTACAGAAGATTGCCTTCTCATTTTCCTGCTAAATGGCTGGTGGAAGTTCAGTGTTTTTCATTTGGTTGTTTACTAGCTTGGTTCATTAAGGCACAAAAAAGCAAATATTGTTGTTAGCTCAAATTCAGATTTTCTGGAGAAAGGTTTATTATGGGATCATAGATAGGAAATGAGAAATGAGAATGGAAATTTTCTAATCCAAGGAGTTGATGGATGGTCATTTTAGGGGCTCCTTGAAATTCTAAAAATTGTCTGCAAATTAAGGAGCTCTGGTAGCGTAGTGCCTAAGGCACTTGACTGCAAACCAGAAGGCTGGCAGTTTAAACCCATCAGCAACTCCTCAGAAGGAAGGTTGGGCAATCTACTTCCGTAGTGATACTGCCTCGGCAACCCAAGGTGGGGTTGCTATGAGTCGGTCCGAATCGATGGCACATAACAACAACAACAGTACCTTTTGCTGGGTAGAGAATCCCTAGCTTTTATTACAGTCTTGAAGAGGTCTATAATCAATCCTCAAATATTTGAAGAACTACTGGGTAGTTCAATCCTTGGCAGAGAAGCTGAGGCCTAGAACAACTAAAGAAACAACTGAAATAACAGGATCACATAATAAATTAGTTGGGCAGAGAGATCTAGAACACAAGGCTCCTGACTTCTAGTTCAAGTTCTTTCTTTCTTTCTTTTTTTAAATTAGGACTAAGCTCTCATCCTCATTTTTTTTTTTTTTTGATAAAGAAAGTTCCTTCCTCTAAGTCAATGATTCTACATTTTGTGTGCATAAGAAAAACCTAGGATGCTTAAAAAAGAAATACAGATTCCCTGAATCCAACTTCACAGATATATTGCCTAGTGTCAGCTTGGAATTTGCATTTTTACAAGTCCCTGGGTAGTTTTGATGTGGATAATCTACTTCAAGGCCACACTTAGAGGAACACTGCCTTAAATTTTTGTTTATTAACTGTTATAATCATATGACTATAATCCATTGGGAGCTCTGGTGCTTTAGTGCCTAAGGTATTTGACTGCTAACCAGAAGGCTGGCAGTTGAAACCCACCAGCCACTCCTCAGAAGGAAGGTTGGGCAATCTACTTCAGGTAGTGATACCGCCTCAGAAACCCAAGGAGGGGTCGCTATGAGTCAGATCCAACTCGACAGCAGTGAGTATGATCCATAAATTTAAGAATTCTGACAAACTCTAACTCTATCCAAGAATATTTATTTTTGGTCAAAAAAGAGCATCATGTCAATTGATTACAGGTTTCATTTCATGTTAAATATCTGTATCTTTATGTCTGATGAAAATATTTTCCAAACCAAAAATTTGTACAGGGAACCTCACAATGTCATAGGCAACTTTCAACTCATGTCTATTTTTTAAAAAACTTTTATTGTGATTTGGGTGAAACTTTACAAAGTAGATTCGTTCTACATTCAACAGTTCTTATCCACATTTTGTCTTGTGATACCAGTTACATTCCCCACAGTGTAATATCTCACCTCTCACTTCCTCCCTGTTGTCAACATCCTCCTATGTCCTTCTTGCCTATACATTTGTGCCTCCCTACCTTTCTCCCTAGGAGGTCTGGTAGCATAGTGCCTAAGGCACTTGACTGCTAACCAGAAGGCTGGCAGTTCAAACCCACCAGCCACTCCTCGGAAGGAAGGTTGAGCAATCTACTTCCGTAGTGATCTGCCTTGGCAACCCAAGGAGGGGTCGCTATGAGTCGGGTCCGACTCAATGGCACATAACAACAACACTTTTCTCCCTGTGCAAATGCTGCCCTTATGATCCTGCATGGTGGACTGTTCTAAGGAGTGCATTTTCCTGTTGCAAGTGTTCAGCTCCTAGACCTATTGTTTGGCTAAGAGTTAAGCCATAGTAGTGAGCTCAATTCCAGGCCTGAAGGGTGATGTGAGGCCATAGTCTTGGGGGTTTCACCAGTCTCTATCAGACCAGTAAGTCTGGTCTTTTCTTTTTTTATGATTTTGCATGTTGTTCCACATTTTTCTTCCCCTTTATATGTTGTTACATACCGTCGAGTTGGACCTGACTCATAGTGACCCCTCCTTGGCAGTATCACTACGGAAGTAGATTGCCCAACCTTCCTTCCAAGGAGTGGCTGGTGGGTTTGAACCACCAGCCTTCTGGTTAGCAGTCAAGTGCCTTAGGCACTATGCTACCAGAGCTCCCCCCCTTTATATAGGATCTTCAATTTTGATCCTTTTCTGAGTGGTTGGTATTGGTAGCAGGGCACCATCTTTTTTTTCTCGTATCAGGGTCATATAGGTTGAGGTTCTCATGGTCTGTGACTCTAGGCCCATTTCTTAATATCAGTTTTCTCATTTTTAAAATGTTGACAATAATAATACTATGAGCAGGGAATAAGGTATTTCATGTACAATGCTTAGCCCAGTTCTTGGCATACAGTGTGTGTGTGTGTGTGTGTGTGTGTATGTGTGTGTATTTAATCAGTATTTGTTAGCACAATAGCCAAAAAGGAAAGTAATGCTTTCATTGTATAAGTACCTATGAAAGCTAAGCCTTAGTAGGGAAATGTGACAATGAGAAGCCATAAATCAATAATAATGGTGATGCTGATCAGTTACGTGAGTTTCTTTGTTCCATTTTGCATGGATTAAGTCATTTTACTTTCACAGTTACACTAGGGGTCACGTGGCAGACCCTGTTAGTGCCTACCCAACTGCTACTTTCCCCTTGCTAATAGAATTCTGCCATTGTTCAGGCTGCAATGTGGCCAAGGAGCCAATCATACTGGACTGAGACAGTTATGACAACCTAACTCCTCTTTGCTAGACTTGCTTGAACCTCCCCTGTAGCCAGGAATGGCCATGTGATTTGGGTTCTGACCAATAAGATGCAAAGGGAAGACTGCTGGGAGGCAGGGGCTCCTATGAAAACATTTGCTTCCTTGGGATCAGACTCTGAGAGGAGATTTTGCTGTTAAGCTGTAGATGTAGCCTTGAGGCTTCTACTTTCAGGCTTCTTATTGAGGGAAAAAAAAGTACTTAATATGTAAGCTACTATTGCTGGGCTTTCTCTAAATTGTAGTTGAAAATAATTCCTTTCTGATACTGGTAGGTGTAATTATTTTCTGTATTTTATAGATAAAGAAGCTGAGGAGAGATTAAATAACTTGGGCAAGTTCATAAAGCTAGTACTGATGAAACTGGGGTTAGATTCTAGTTATTTTTACTCCCAAGGCTGTCTCAGCCACTCTACAGTACAAGAAAATAGGTAGGAAACTTAAAAAGGGTGACAAGAAGAAGATACAGTGATAACTGAGTATAGGTTTTGTCTCAAAGGGACATGGGTGAAATACTAACTAGAATTCCTCTATAGACTGATTGCTTTCAGAAAGGGTCAAACAGACCAGTACATGGCAATGACATTTAAGGATATTGCTACTTGAGACTATACAATACAGATAATGACATGTATGCAATGATGGCATGGAGATAACAAAAAAGGCTAATTATAAAGCAAATATTTGGAAAGATTTCTACTAGCAGTTGTTAAAAGAAAAAGGTTTAGGAATTAAATGATAAGCTTTCAATTATTTGCCAGAAAGATTATATGGCACACATCTGAGCTGTTGCTTATGTGATTTTACTAAGCTAGAGCACTCTTTGCCTTCCTCCTTGACATGGTTATTTGTCCTGTGATAGCTAACACGTACTCGCTGAAGCAAGAGTTCTCTGGCTAAACTGTTCCTGTGTGTAGTTACTAAAAGCTTCAGCACTGAGCTTCAAGAGACTTTGAGTGATTGGAAGGAGAGTCAATTAAATGATTTCTAGGGTGAAAGGATACAGCTCAGGGAAACTGGGGTTGAGGCAGCCAACCCAGAATGGACAGATTCTCTCGTCCTCCTTTTCCCACGTGCCCTACCTTAAGCCAAAGAGCCTAACCATGAGAGGAA